TCTGAACTACCAGATCTGGTAGCAATAAAACTGACCTCAGAATAAACTAACTGCAGTGTCCCTTTATTTTCACTGTCTACTGATGCTGCCTCTGTTCTAGGGCTGTACTTGCTTCGCATGTAGCATCAAGTTCATTGTTAGCAGAAGCTTATAAGGCGAGGTACTACTATTATATTCATTTTTGATAGGGAAATTGAGAGGTCTAGAGAGTTTAGATTAATAATATACATGTTTTAATAGATCCATCACAATTTTAGGGGTTTACTAAATTTTAAATATTACTAAATTTTAAATAGTGAGTTACCTCTATTAACATTTGTAAGTTTTTCTGTTACTTACTTAGCTGCTATAAACATATAGACATGAAAAAATACAATTTTTTATATTGAAAGAAAAAACTTTTTCTGCTAGGCCACAAAGTAAACAAAACACCAAATTGTGAAATGTTCCTCCTAAAACATGTTTATAGTAAGTTTTATCTGAAGTAAAGAAAAAAATGACACAATTTATTACAAGACATCAAAAGGAAGATCTACTAGACCTGAAAAATAAGAAATTCATCTAAGCAAAGGAAACAAAAAATAAAATCCAAATTCCAAAAATGTTCAGAGTTCTAAGAGAAAAAATCTATTGGAGGGGCCAGCCTGGTGGTGCAGCGGTTAAGTGCACACGTTCCGCTTCAGCGGCCCGGGGTTCGGTGGTTCGGATCCCAGGTGCAGACGTGGCACCGCCTGGCACGCCATGCTGTGGTAGGCATCCCACATATAAAGTAGAGGAAGATGGGCAGGATGTTAGCTCAGGGCCAACCTTCCTCAGCAAAAAGAGGAGGATTGGGAGCAGTTAGGACAGGGCTAATCTTCCTTAAAAAAAAAAAAAAAAAAAAAACTATTGGAGATGGTCACATTCATCTGTCAAATTAATGAATAATTGGGCTATTTTTTTATTTTATTTTTTATTTATGGTATAATTAAATACCCTCTATCCCCAAACTTAAGAAGGGAAATTATAAGAAACGTTCCAAATAAGCTATTTGGTGCTTATGAGCCAAATAAAAGATCATCTCTTTCCCCTTTGTCCAGGTACCCAGTCACACTTGTTTAACTTGGTATTTTTCTATTCCAAACTCCAGAAGATACCCTCTCACCTCTGCAATTGCCAATTTGGTCAATTCACTGTAGTGAGAAGGTAGGACAACATACAGTAGTCTTCTTATATCTGCAATTTTGCTTTCCATGGTTTCAGTTACCTGCGTCAACCATGGTCCGAAAATACTAAATGGCAAATTCCAGAAATAAACTCATAAGTTTTAAATTGCATGCTCTTCTGAGTAGTGTGATGAAATCTCATGCCATTAAGCTCTGTCCTGCCTCGTACATGAATAACCTGTCTGTCCAGTGGATGCACACTGTAGACACTATCCACCTGTTAGTCACTTAATAGACATCTAGGTTATCAGACTGACTGTTGCAGTATTGCAGTGCTTGTGTTCAAGTAATCCTTATTTTACTTAAAAATGGTCCCAAAGCATGAGAGCAGTGATGCTGGCAATTTGGATATGCCAAAGAGAAGCCATGAAGTGCTTCTTTTAAGTGAAATGGTGAAAGTTCTTGACTTAATAAGGAAAGAAAAAAATTGTATGCAGAGGTTGCTAAGATGTACAGTAACTTTTATTACAGTATATTGTTATAATTTCTTTATTTTTAGTTATCGTTTTAATCTCTTACTGTGTTTAATTTATAAATTAGACTTTATCATAGGTATGTTTGTATAGGAAAAAACATAGTATACAGAGGGTTCAGCACTATCTGCAGTTTCAGGCATCCACTGGGGGTCTTCCAACGTGTCCCCCAAGGATAAGGGGAGACTACTAGTGATTTACAGTATACATTAATTAAGAAGACAATCTGCAACCTCCCTATCAAAATTTAAGATTTTTGAGCATGCGACACAGATCCACGACTGACACAGTCTTTGTAATCTTCAAACTTATGTCCTATGCTCCTCAAAATAGTGCTATCTCAAGAATGCAATAGAAACCTACCCATTGAAAGACTACTTTTTCCCAAAGAAAAATCACATTTGTACCAATATTTCTAACTTTGCTGATTCCTTTATCCCTTGCCTTCTTAATCCTAACTTTCTCCAGCCTAACCAAAAATCTAATGAAGGCCCCAAAAAGATTAGTGAATAAGAATACGGACTTGAGAGACACTTCAAATCTGGGCTTACTCATACATACCATAGATTCAGTGTACAATTTCCTCATCTGGAAAACGAGGAAAGCAAACTCTATCTTAGAAGATTATTTTGCATACTAAATGACTTAATATGTAATAAGCCCCCAGCATTGCACCTGGCAGGCTGTAAACCTCCAAATATGATACAACAATGATGAGGATAATGCTGAAGGAGGAAAGAGGACAGACAGAAGCTATTTTTCCCAATTATTTCTTAGGAAGTTAGGGTCGAAGTTAAAGTTTATTCAAGTCTTGGCTCTCACCTTCAGGATATTTACAATATTTCAAGACTATAAAGTCAACAGAATTCAGGATAGATACCTTCCCAGACACGTAAAGTCCAATTTGGAGTGTTTGGCTATTCCTCAATAGCATTATCAAGAGGAAATCGGTAGAGGAGTGAAACAATTATTTCTATGAGGTAGGATGTGGTACCATTAAAGAGCACAGCACTGGCAATCAGGAGGCTGGGGCTCTCATCCAGTTTCTTCCTTTAAGTGGCTGAATAATCAGAGCAAGTCACATTCCTCCTCTAGGCCACATACTCTCAATCCCCCAGTGAGGAGTTCAGACTAGAAAATCTCTAAGAACACTCTTTTTGTGAGGGAAAGGAAAACAGGTGTGGCATGAACACTGATGTGATATATAAATGGTAGCTCCAATGTTCTGGTCTTTTAACTGTGCAGTGGCCAGATGCCAGGGAAAAGCTGGGCATCTCAATCACTCCATTTGCTTTCTTCTTCCTGTTGTGCTCCATTCTTCCCACCCTGTCTTATCCATCCTACAGCTCACAACCCCAACCCAATAAAACCTGGTCTCTACCACTAAGAAGTAAAAGTGACCTCACTGAAATCTAGTAACTCAAATATTTATACCCAGTCACAAAGAAATCCAAGCTTACCATTCTCTTAAATAATTACTTCAAAAGGAGCAAGGCAAAAGCAGAACACAAAAGAAGAGCAAATTTGAGAATTGAAGAGGCAAGGCCATATTTTTCTGGTTCAAGCAGAAAAAGAAATTTATAATCCACAGAACCCCAAATAAACTCAAAACGATGAGTGACACAAGGATTAAACAGAAACTATTTAGAGGTGGAGGTAAATAGATTACGGGAGAAAGTGATCACTCCAGGTCAAGGTCATTCACATTTGAGAGGTTAAGAATGCACATGAAAATATTTATAAATAAGATAATGTGGAAGATCACTAAAAGGCTAAAATGAGATAATATATTGTAAAATCATAACTGGCTCTTGTTGATTTTTATTAATAAGTCTGAAAAGAAAATGATCATGGCTTAAGCAAAGGGCTAGTACAGTGCTATTGACTGTATTCCACCTCGCCAGTGACTCCTTCAAGGATGGATGCATGTCTCAGTCAGACCAATGACAATCACTTCAGGATTTCTGGTAAAATACTAGAAAAGAAAGCATTCTTTTTATTGGATTTGAAGCTGGGAGTTACCACATGGAGAAGACCTTCCAACCTTTTCAAAACCAATATTCCTGAAGCATGAAAGCCCCTATGGCTTTCAATTATGAGTACTATTAAATTCTTTTTTTGTACTTAAAGCAGTCTATTATTGATTTCCCTGAGTAATACAACTAGGGAACCTTTATGTATGCTGGGCTTTCTGACTAATCAAATGAATTGTAAAGATGATTATTTAATATTATAATCCTTGATATGAAAAAAAATGACAAGATACAAAGTAATAAATGTAACAAGGGGTGAATCCATAGAATCCTATAGCAGGAAAAGTATTTTTGGGTCATACGTATCACGTTATCCTGATAAAATATATGCAGATGTCATATTTTAATACAAGAATGTGAAAGGGAGAAGAGAGTTGCTAAAGATAGCTGGGAAGGATTTTAAAGGTAACAAAGGAGACAAGAATAAAGTCTTCCAAAGGTATGTGCGATAGTTGAGAAGCTATCAATTGAGCACTCTATCTAGCATTCTACTTCTATTATGAACTCTAAAATGTGCAAAAATAACCTGTGAGCCTACCAAAATGCATATTCTAAGGATCCCCATGTAGAGATGACTATTAATAGATTTGGAATCGATGACCATGCCCATCCACCTCTTCATCCACTCCAGATGGAGAGACTACTCAGGAAAAACTCTGAAAAAGACCATTGTCTCATAAGAGAGGGAACTTTTGTAGGCGTGTGGAATATTTTAAATATCAACTTGTTAAGAAACGAGTTTTCAGTCACTTACTTGTAGTAGCAACTTTCAAACTGAATCCTGCAACTCATTAGAAGGGTCCTGCATCAATTCAGTGAGACTAAGTTTATGCTAAAAATAAGAGAATGTGCAGTATGATACACATATTAAAATTGATGTTGTTTATGAAATGTTTGTTTCAGGGGTGTGTGTGTGTGTATGTGTGTAAGTGAGTGAATCTTGTGTGTATTGAGAGATGATGGAAGATATATTTCTTACTACAAGTTGCAGTCACAAACGTCTGAAAGCTACTGGCTTAGATCTAGAAAGAGAAAAGTCTAATATAGAACCCTCCAAGTGAGATCTTCAAAAATAAGTCTTCTACTGAACTATGACAAGCTCTAGAGGGAGGAATCATTAGACCTTATAAGAACAGATTCATCTTTTGGAACAATTTCTGAGATCTATAGGACACCTGGAGAAAAAAAAAGTCATGAAAACAGTAATATAAACTTCATATATTTTAATACAAAAATACTTTAAACTGGCATATTCTTGTCTCAGTCTCAGCTGCCAGTACAAGCCTTACCTGAAAGTGTCTTTTGGTAAGAAACACACTGATGTCTCCACAAAGAAATGGCAGATCTCTCTCGATTCTGCAGTCCATTTAGTCTTTCTGCTAGCCCGCCTCTGTTTAATGAATAATATATATATTAACTGATATATAAATATTATAAATACATATAAACATATATAACATACATTTTTTTTTAATTCAGTAAACTACCTATTTTCAGAGAAGTCAGCAGCTCCTAAGACATCTATGATCTCAAGACAAATCAAGATCAGTTGTTAATCATTATTATGATCACGTGCTAAATAATTTATCAATCTCTTCTCTCACATGATTATGTACCAGTTCACCGATCATTTTACAACATTATTTCATTTTATTCTAATAATATCCCTTTGAGGTAGAAAGAACAGATATCAATACCCACCACATACATGATAAAATCAGAGCTGAGAGAGAGGTCAGGGAAATTCTAGCTAGTTGAGGAAATAGTCATTGAAACCAGAAAGGATTTAGCACAGTGCCTGACATTTAGTAAACCTTCAAGAAATGCTAGTCATTGATGTTACTGATTTTGCTATAATTTTTACTTGCACCCTATGCTTTTTCCACAATGATTAAAAAATCTTATTTTAATACATATTGAATATATTATCACTACTATGAACTTTGTTTTCCTATAGGCACTAATTATTTCTGAATATGTGTGTGTGTAGTATATATACTAACAAATTAAAAAAAGTTTTCATAATCACAAATATGCTAAAGAATCTCTACTTTACATATATGTCTACCGCTACGTTTTATATATATATATATATATATATATATATATATATATATATAAAACCTTTTCTTCATATAATTTCATTCACATGAAATAACTCATTTATACTCCCCCTCTAAACAACACTATGAAAGTAGGTCCTACTGTCATCCTCATCTTATAGATGATAACTGAGGCACTGAGACATTAAACATCTACAAAGGTGAGACATCTTATAAATGGTGTACCCTGGCAGTCTGTCTCCAGAATTATATAATAAGCTTAGCCTCAGTAATATAGCTACTGCCTCTTAAAGAGTACTACTTAAAAAATACTCATAATAAACACAAGAAAAAAAGCAAAATATTGCATTCTTTTCACAACGATCTGAATAATTATTTGCCAAATGTTGGTTTTCAGTCCAGTGACTTTAGAGTGGAGAAAAAAAGACAAACTACAATCTGAAAGCAATATACGGTTAGGTTAAGTCCTAGAATCCCACAAATAAACTGTAGGAATTATAGGACAAAAGGTAAAAAGCAAGAGTAAAAGCGAACACAGAACAGTTCTCTATATGCAGAAGTATCTGGATCCTAAGACAGAATCAGTATTTCCAGCTTGGTTTTAGTCATTAGCAGCTACACTGATAACTACAGGATACTTCTGCTCCAATCTGCCCAGAGAATTCCTGCAGGGAATTCCGATCAGATGCGTCAGAACTTAGGAATGGAAAATACCATGACCTTTAATCAACAATCATAATTCTAGTAAAAAGCTACTCCACATTAAAAAAAAAAAAAAGTCACACAGGAGAGGTTCACGAAGGCCCTACTGTATTCATGCAAATTAACCTTTTCTTCCTTCCAGTTTTACTGAGGTATAACTGACAAATAAAGTTGTAAGATACTTAAAGCGTACATTGTGGTAATTTGATATATGTACACACATTGTGAAAGTATTCCCCCACCTAGCTATTTAAGACATCCATCACCTCACATATTTAAATTTGGGGGGGGGGGGATGCGAAAATTTAAGTTCTACTCTCTTAGCAAATTTCAATATACAATATAGTGTTATCAACAATAGTCACCAGGCTTTACAGTAGATTTTTAGAAATTACTCATTTTAGAGATTAACGTGTGTACCCTTTTACCAAACTCTCCATATATGCAACGGCCCTGGCAACCATCTTTCTATTCTCTGTTTCTATGACTTTGACTTTTTTTTGGTTTTTAGTTTCCACCTATAAGCAATACCGCGCAGTACTTTTCTTTCTCTGTCTGGATTATTCCACTTAGCATAATGCCTTCATGGTCCATTCGTGTTGGTGCAATTAGTAGAATTTCCTTCTTCCTCATGGATGAGTAATATTCCGTGGTGTGTGTGTGTATATATATCTTCTTTACCTGTTCATCCACTGGCTGAGACTTAGGTTCTCTCCATATCTTGGTGATTGTGAATAATGTTGCAATGAACATGAGGGGTACAAATATCTCCTTGATATTCTGTTTTTATTTCCTACGGATATATTCCCAGAAGAGGGACTGATGGGTCATATCCTATTGACTGATAGTCATAATTCTAATTGTTAATTTTTTTACAAACCTCCATACTGTTTTCCACAATGGTTGTGCCAATTTACAATCCCACCAATAGTGTACATGGCTGCCCTTTTCTCTACATTCTCAGCAACACTTGTTATTTCTTGTCTTTTTGATGATAACCATTCTAACAGGTGTGGGGTGATATCTCATTGAGTTTTGACTGGCATTACCCTGATGATTAGTAACGTTGAGCAGTTTTTCACAGATGTCTTCTTTGGAAAAGTATCTATTCAGTTCCTCTGCCCATTTTTAATTGAACTGTTTTTGCTGCTGTTGAGCTGTATGAGTTCATTATGTATTTTGGATATTAACCTCTTATCAGATATATGATCTGCAAATATTTTCTCCCATTCAGTAGGTAGCTTTTTTCATTTTGTTCATGGTTTCCATTGCCGTGCAGAAGCTTTTTAGTTTGATGTAGTCCCACTTGTTTATTTTTGCTTTATTGCTTTTGCTTTTGGTGTCAAATCCAAAAAATCATTGCCAAGACCAAAGTCAAAAAGCTAACCCACTATGTTCTCCTCTAGGAGTATTATGGTCTTTCATTCAAGTTCTTAATACATTTTGAGTTGACTTTTGTGTATGATGTAAGATAGGGATCCAGTTTCATTCTTCTGCATATGGCTGTCCAGTTTTCCCAACACCATTTATTGAAGGGACAATCCTTTCTCTATTATATATTCTTGGATACTTTGTCAAAAAGTAATTGACCATGTAGGCAAAGTTTTATTTCTGGACTCTCTATTAGGTTCCATTGAAATATGTGTCTGTTTTTATATCAATACCATACTGTTTTGGTTACTATAGCTTGGGAATATAGTTTGAAATCCAGACATGCGATGCCTCCAGCTTTGTTCTTCTTTCTCAAGATTGCTTTGACTATTTGAGGTCTTTTGTGGTTTCACACAAATTTTAAGACTGTTTGTTCTTATCTGTGAAAAATGTCCCTGGAATTTTGATAGGCATTGCATTAAATCAGTAGATTGCTTTGGGTAATGTGGACATTTTAACAATATAATTCTTCTAATCCATGAGCAGAGAAAATCTTTCTATTTACTTTTGTCTTCCTCACTTTCTTTCACCAATGTCTTATAGTTTTCAGCGTACAGGTCTTTCATTTCCTTGGTTAGATTTATTCCTGGGTATTTTATTCTTTTTGATGCAATTGTAAGTGGGACTGTTTTCTTAACTTCTCTTTCAGATAGTTCATGATTAGTGTATAGAAACACAACTGATTTTTGTATATTGACTCTGGATCCTACAACTTTACTGAATTCATTAATTAGTTCCAATAGTTTTTTGGTGGAGTCTTTAGGGTTTTTTATATATATATCATCATGTCACCTGTAAATAGAGACAGCTTTACCTCTTCCTCTGTAATTTGGATGCCTGTCATGTCTTTTTCTTGATTAATTGCTCTGGCTAGGACTTCCAGTATTATGTTGAATAAAAGTCAAGAGAGGGGCCGGCCCCATGGCCAAGTGGTTAAGTTTGCGCACCCCACTTCGGCAGCCCAGGATTTCGCAGGTTTGGATCCTGGGCGTGGACATGGCATCACTCTTCAAGTCATGCTGAGGCGGCATCCCACATGCCCCAACTAGAATGACCCACAACGAAAAATATACAACTATGTATTGGGGGGCTTTGGGGAGAAAAAGGAAAAATAGAATCTTTAAAAGAAAAAGTCACAAGAGTGGGCATCCTTTGTCTTATCCCTGAGTATGATGTCAGCTGTGGGCTTGTCATATACAGCCTTTCTATGTTGAGGTACATTCCCTCTATAACCAGGCATTGTTGAAATTTTTTTTTTATCATGAATGGATGTTGATATTTGTCAGGAGCATTTTCTGTATCTCATACAGATGCTCATACGATTTTGCCCCTTCATTTTGTTCATGTAGTGTATCACGTTGATTGATTTGTGTATGCTGAATCATCCTTACACCCCTGGAATCAATCGTAATCGGTCATGGTGTATGATCCTTCTAATATACTGCTGAATTTGGTTTGCTAACACATTATTATGGATTTTTGTGTCTATGTTCTTCAGGGATTTTGGCCTGTAATTTTCTTTTCTTGTAACATCCTTGTCTGTTTTTGGTATCAGGGTAATGCTGGCCTCATAAATGAGTTTGGAAGTGTTCCTTCCTCTTATATATCTTGAAAGAGTTTGAGAAGGATTGGAATTAATTTTTCTTTAATTGTTAGGTAGACTTCACCAGTGAAGCCATCTGTTTCTGGACTTTCCCTTGTTGTGAGGCTTTTGATTACTGATTCGATCTCATTAGTAGAAATTGGCCTGTTTAGATATTCTATTTCTTCCTGATTCCATCTTGGTAGGTTGTATGTTTCTAGGATTTATCCATTTCTTCTAGGTTGTCCAATTTGTTGGCATATAATTGTTCATAGTATTGTCTTATGATCTTTTATACTTGCATGGTGTCAGTTGTAATGACTCCTCTTTCATATCTAATTTGAGTCTTCTTTTTTTTTCTTGGTATGTCTAGCTAAAGATTTGACTGTTTTGTTTATCTTCCAAAAAAGCCAGCTCTCAGTTTCACTGATCTTTCCTATCATCTTTTCAGTTTGTATACTATATATTTCTACTCTGACGTTTATTATTTCCTTCCTTTTACTAATTTTGGGCTTAGTTTGTTCTTCTTTTTATGATTCTTTGAGGTGTAAAGTTACTGTTACTGTTTACTGTTTTATTAAGTTACTGTTTATTTGAGATCTTTCTTTCTTC